GGGTGGTTCCAAAGTTATTTACCTATGCAGGTCATGTCCAGATAGACCATTATTCCTACACCTGGATTGTTTCAATGATTCGATTGTTTTGAAAGCAGTAACCAATCAGAATCAAAAGTTTCCCCTTCTTGCATATTATGAACAATCACTTTTCTTAATCTGCAAACTCGAGCGTCGAACATCTCTTATCTCGGTGCACTTTTCAAGAAAGATTTTAAGCCAAATAAAATCATAACCATGCAGATCATGTCCTGATAAACCATATCTCCACCCGGATTGCTGTTTTGAACTATACCACACAAGGACAATCATGTAATTAATAACCAATTCAAACATTCGAGTTCAAGTTGTCGTAAGATATTCGACAATTAATTTCTAATCGGGGTCGGCAATTGTTCTAAATGCTGAGGATGCAGCGGACAAAATAAAAATATTAAAAGTGTCCGAATAAAATGAATGTTCACTTTGGTTTGCATAAATACTTAAATATATATTCCTGATTATCTTAACTGGATATTTCAATTCAAAGTAGAGTACATTTTAATCTGAGTACATTAAAAACAAATACTAGAACCATGCATAAAATCATCATGAACTCAATAAAAATAGTTTGTGTCTTCTAAGATTTGTAAATTCCACTGTTCAAATGCTTAAGTAAACAGTTGGTTTTGGATATAAACGCTAATCGAAATTACATTATCATAATAAAATAGTGAAGACAAACTTAAACTGTTTGTGCAAAATTTGTAAGTCGTCTTTGATAGTCATTGAACAAGTTTGGTTTGTTTTTTAAGGTTGCGACTAATATCTAAAAAGATGGATTTATTCTGCATTAACGATGTATAAATTTCTCATTGCAGTAGCAATATCCTCGAGAATGCTTTGTTTGGAATCCAATCTTCATTAGTGAGTGCTGAATAATCATTCGTTCTGCCAGTTATTCATTGAATATCAAAGTAAAACATTTATTTGTTTAAATAACCGCAACTTAAATCCTTACTTTAAAACAAACAAATAATCCAACACATGAATGTTTCCTACAACTAATAAAATAATTACGAGGATCTTAATTTTTATAAACAATATGCAATGATTAGAAAAACAATATTTGTTTTTTTTTTCATAAGATATTGTATTAGACGATTATCAAAAACTTGACAAGGATGTTTCAATGCAAAGATAACACGAGTTAAATATTGTCTTTGAATTCAAAGTAAATGAAATATGATTCAAGGATTTGATTAAAGCTTTTAAACATTGCATTTCGTCTGAACGGAGCTCCAGTTCCCATGAGTACAATAATGCGTTACAACTCATACAGGGATGAAAGTTTCATTTTATAGTAGTAGCTTATTTTACAGGATAATTTCAATTTTCGTTATATATTTATTTTGCTTTAGGTCCTGCAATTTAAACTTGTATCAGCACTATATCTTTCGTGTGTAGATCAATGTTTAAATTTATTTCCAACATCAATGTGGCGTTATTTGATGTAAAAGAATACTGTTACTTATGTGGCATTGTATTAATTTGGTACTTTTGGTTTTGTCCATTTGTTCAATGCTAAGATCTACTTAAACATACAAAAGAAAGCGTAATAGCCTTGTTTAAGAGTAGAAACTATGGTTACACGCCTAAAGAAATCAAGGCATTGTTTGTTCGTGCAATATCTGTTTCCTTTTAACTTAAGTATTTCTAGTCAAAACTTTAATTTCTCTCCCATGTTTATTATACTTGTCCTATTATTTCTTACTACATATTGTTGCTTCCTAGAATGGAAAAACTCACCGTTTCTGTTTGCTTAGATCTTGTTAGTGTTTGTTATCGCATTGTAAATTAATTTATTGTATTCATAGTTGTGTTTTTGTTCTTGTTTACATTTTTTGCATTGTTATTGTATGTATTGATATTTCTCGTTGACTGTACTGATCTGTTATTGTTTCTTTTGTTGATCGTTAAATTATTGTTCTTTGCCTTTGCTTGTGAAATTTGTTGTCAGTATCGTGTATAATTTGAATTTTCCATGTATGAATTGGCAATTTTGCCGTTGAAATAAATGAAATCAAATCAAAGATTTAATTTCTGAGTACATCAAAACAGCTCCTAACGAGGACCATCTACTTTCAAATGTAACATAATATTAGTCAGTGTAGACCTAGCATTAAGAAACATCAAGAAATAAGGAAACTTAGGAACCAATTTAAAGCCAAGATCATGGCAGACGAAATTACCGGTCCTCCTCCAGGAAAGTCTGGTGATTTAACAGATCCGTCTTCCTAGCCTGAAAGCTGACTACAACGAATAACTAATACACAGGACAATGCCTTCCTCCTTATGGACCAGGAGTTGTTAGACAGACTCAAACTAATCGACCTCAGAATTGGATCACTGCAGGACCACTCACGAACCGGAGCCATGCAGAATGATTGGTTCCAAAGTTATTTACCTATGCGAATAATGCCCGGATAAACCATATCTCCATCCAGATTGCTGCTTTGAGATATATCACACAAGGACACATGTAAATAAGAAATTATTCAACCATTTCAGTTCAAGTTGTCGTAAGGTATTCGACAATTGATTTCTAATCGGGGTCAGCAATCAAAATATGCATGCTATTAGATAATACATAAAACTTCTTTTGATTTTAATTTTTTATTATTTCTTTTATTCTGTTATTAATAATTTCATTACTGAAGATTTGAAAGTAGAGTGGGCCCTGGGCATGTTACCAGTTGTAAGAGTAGGCCGATTTTTTAAGCAACACTAATAAACAACTCGGTTCTATATGTCACAAGAGAGACAAAACATTACTGCGAGAATCAACTTGAGCAAATGTGACTATTGAGTACACCATGTTCAGCAGGAATATAACAAATTTTCAAGAGGATCCGAATTGCTAGACCCAACCGGAGGTGTTCAATACTGGCGGTAATTATACTAGTCTTGCTGGTAGGAGTTGTATATTTCTTCAGTTGGAAGATTATAATTAATTACTGGATTTTCATGCTTTGTGTTCTTTGTGTGCTTTGTGTTGTGTTTGTGTTTTAGTTCAGATGTGGAACTATCCATCCTAGGATAAAGTAAAGCTGACAGCCCTTCTAGCTTGTTTTCACCTCCATACATATTATTCGTCAACATGCATCTGTGCTAATGATATGAGATTAGACCATCAAAAGAAAAATCATAGAAACAAGAGAAATGAAAGCCGGCAGACGACCGAGAGGTTATTGCTGTAGCACATAGGCACATCCCCTGGGTGGGACGAATTAACTTGTATTATGCACTGGGTATTTTGAAAATAAAGCGCTTTTTCTTTCTTTCTTTTCAAAAGAAATCAATGCAACAACAACAAAATCTACCAGACGTTCGGAATTGCTTGCTCCAACCTAAGGGGTTTTATACTGGTACGAGTTATACTAACTGGTTGGAGTTTTGTATTGCTTCAGTTGTAAGAGTATAACAATTCGTTGGAAAAAAGTCAAAGATCTTTGATCTCTGAATACGTCAAAACTTTCATTGAAACAGCTGATAACGAGGAACAATTACTTCCAAAAGATTTATTATTTAACTAGTTTAGGCCTAGCATTTTTTTAACAAGCGTAACTAACAAAGATAAAATTTATTATGCTTACATAAAAAAAAAAACTTGTTACTTAATTTAATTTTTGCTCCAGATGGTTTCAAAATTACGAGTGTGCTAGAAACATTTATTTTGTTGCTAAAGAAATTAATGTTGAACAATAAAAAACATTTCCCTTAAAATCGAGCATAGCTTTTAATGTTTTTTATGTTAATATTCATTAAAACAAACGAAACAAACGTAAATCATTTAAAATAATTTTTTCATCATCATACTGTAAAATATTTTTATTCCTATACATAACACGACAAAATATCTCAATAATATGTTGGCCAAGAGAAAAATATAACTCCATAACTTAATCGGGACAGTGAAAATGACTGAGGCTAAGCTTCGAGATAGGAAGCTTAACCCGAAAAACGCCCATTGCTGTAGTAAGCTTTCAAACGAGAGTGGATTAATATCGTATAAACGATTGGTGAATTGGCCTTTTATCAATATATAATATTCTTTAAAAGTCTTAATATTAATTTATATTATAATATATCAAACATTTCTTTAATAGTACCAGTGTGATTTCTAGCGGATTACTGGCTGGATTGAGAATGTGTTCCATAATCGTTTTATATCTTATGTAAAACAAAGTTAAAAGAATTAATTTTGAAGTTACTGTTATCATCTTTAAAATGAAAAATACACTCAAAAACTATTGATATTGTATAAGATTACTATCAACCTGTATAGTATAATATGGTGTATAATGGTATTGGGTATAGTGTATAATCAATGATAGTATGCAATAAGATGCATTTATACATTATCATCACAAAAATACTTATGTTGTCTTATTTATTTAGCCTAAACGTTGTAATATTGAAAAGCAACAAAAAAGTAGTCAAAGAAAAACTAATAATCATCCATAGAATTTGACTTTTGTATTTTTAAGTGTTAATTTTTTGTTATAAATACAGTTAAAAATACAAATGCAATCAAGGTATTATATACTAAACCGGTAAAACGACATGCTAAAGGGCGAAAAAGATAATTATTAGCTTCAATTTTGCAGTAAGGGGTTTGTTTATCCACCAATTGTAAAGAAAATCTATAATTATAACAAACAGAAAGATGTGGTAGTTGCAAAAGAACTCTGCGAAGAACTAAAACTTAAATTAGACATTTCCCAGAGTTAGAGTTTTTCAAAATTTGATTTTGAACAATTAAACTTAATGCTGAACGTCTACAAAAGCTATAGGCACTAATTATATAATTTTTATTTATTAACGACGTGTTTAATTTCGGAGTTGAACAAAAACTTTTTATAAACCCCCAGATAGAGGTTCAATACTTAAGACTAAACAATAATTTAAAACAAGGTAAACCACGCTAATTTATCAAACAACTATAAATTGAGACTTACGAAAATCTGTATTTCTGTAACGACCATAACACAAGAAAGTTGGTTCACATTGAGATTACATCGTATCTGACAACGAAGAGAGTAACACACTTGGTGAGTAGAGAGGTGACGCGCAACTAACCTGGCATTAGACCTACATCGGACACGAACACTCCCATCCACCCAGTGACGCGAGACTCACAACATTCAGACGAGAACCAACCACGACCTACACCAAAAGCAATACTTGTCAATTTATCGGAAAATGTATAACTATTACTCGTAGGGATTTGATCAAATGCAATAAATGGAAGGTGATAAATAACTTTTACTATATAAAATTGCACTTTAACAATATTGAATGTAAATGAGAAGTATTAGAACGTAGTTTATAACATATTTCACACCTCAGGATTTTAATTTTTAACTCATATATTAAAAAAGTAACGTTTCTAAGTACGAGAACCAACATGTGTTACAATAGTTTTGCACATAAACAATTTTGATTTAAATGGCAAGGGTTGAACGTGCTTTATAACATATCTCACAATTTAGCAAACTCAACTTTTCCAAGTTATTGTTTTTTGCAACATCTGTGTTTTAGTTCCAGCAAATTCATTGGATATCATATAGACAGGTGAATTTCCGGAAAATTGAGGTAAAGTTATAGCAGTGTGAAAATAAACTTTTCAAATCTTTTGGTTCCAATTGACAAAGTGGTGCAGCTTTTTTAAATGTTTGTTGTGAACAACTTTATTTATAATAACTAGTTTTTCGTAAAGTTGCAAAAGAACTCTGCGAAGAACTAAAACTTAAATTAGACATTTCCCAGAGTTAGAGTTTTTCAAAATTTGATTTTGAACAATTAAACTTAATGCTGAACGTCTACAAAAGCTATAGGCACTAATTATATAATTTTTATTTATTAACGACGTGTTTAATTTCGGAGTTGAACAAAAACTTTTTATAAACCCCCAGATAGAGGTTCAATACTTAAGACTAAACAATAATTTAAAACAAGGTAAACCACGCTAATTTATCAAACAACTATAAATTGAGACTTACGAAAATCTGTATTTCTGTAACGACCATAACACAAGAAAGTTGGTTCACATTGAGATTACATCGTATCTGACAACGAAGAGAGTAACACACTTGGTGAGTAGAGAGGTGACGCGCAACTAACCTGGCATTAGACCTACATCGGACACGAACACTCCCATCCACCCAGTGACGCGAGACTCACAACATTCAGACGAGAACCAACCACGACCTACACCAAAAGCAATACTTGTCAATTTATCGGAAAATGTATAACTATTACTCGTAGGGATTTGATCAAATGCAATAAATGGAAGGTGATAAATAACTTTTACTATATAAAATGCAATTAAGAAGTAAAGTGTGATGTTTTAATAAAAAAATTTGTCTTGTAAAATTTTTAATTAAGCCTAAAATGATCGCACTTCATCTCTAAAATAGTACGACAGCAAAGCACAAGTAATAATATTTAAATGTAGTACATCATTAAATAATAATATCAAAACACAGTACTTTATTAAATTAAATAAATCAGCAATCTAACCCATACCTTCTAAATTTAACAAGGTGCATATAATTCATCTTGTGTAATAAATAACTACAGCTGTTTTGTGCTTCTATGAGCACATCTTCAGATTAAGAACGTTAAAAACAGTTTTCTCATCCATGAATGAGGTTGTCAGTATTTCCATATAACTTTTTTGGGCCACGTGAAATTAAACTCATGCGAAAAACGACATTTTTTTATTTAAAATAAAATAACAAAAATAATAAACACAATAAATTTACCAAGTAGTCCGAACACGAGGTCCATAACCAGATGGAACTGGTAACCAAATATTTTTCATCTTGCAAAATCTTGTTCCATAGGCTAACATATCTTGACATACTTTTTCCCATTAGCCTGTCATAACCCTTATCATTAGTAAGCGGTGGAGATAACTATGATTTTGATTTATTCTGGGAAAAAATACAGAAGTTTTAATGCATTTTGAACCGTTATTTTTACAATGGAAGTTGTAAAATTTTATAACTATTTTATTTTATTTTTGAAAATCCGATTCTTTTCGTTATTTTATAGGAAAATATCAATTTCATAAAAAAAACGTCTGAAGATACTAAGGATAAGTTCCCTTATGCCAAATTTCTTATACCCCGATATTGTATTAAAATACTCAATTCCATTATCCAGAAACATGGATTGTCTTCGGAATTGTTCACTGCGATTAACTGAGCTACTGAGCTGAAAAAGACGCAGAACCTAAAAACGGGTTACAATAATGCCAATGAGTTTATAGAAACATGTGAAACTAAGATTGAAATTTAACTCAATAAAAATGTAGAAGACACTGGAAGTGAGTACATAATATCCAGAGTTTGATTTTTTACAGGATACATATATGAAAACAGTAACGTTTTTAAGTGCGAGAACCAACATGTGTTACAATAGTTTTGCACTTTAACAATATTGAATGTAAATGAGAAGTATTAGAACGTAGTTTATAACATATTTCACACCTCAGGATTTTAATTTTTAACTCATATATTAAAAAAGTAACGTTTCTAAGTACGAGAACCAACATGTGTTACAATAGTTTTGCACATAAACAATTTTGATTCAAATGGCAAGGGTTGAACGTGCTTTATAACATATCTCACAATTTAGCAAACTCAACTTTTCCAAGTTATTGTTTTTTGCAACATCTGTGTTTTAGTTCCAGCAAATTCATTGGATATCATATAGACAGGTGAATTTCCGGAAAATTGAGGTAAAGTTATAGCAGTGTGAAAATAAACTTTTCAAATCTGTTTGGTTCCAATTGACAAAGTGGTGCAGCTTTTTTAAATGTTTGTTGTGAACAACTTTATTTATAATAACTAGTTTTTCGTAAAGTAGTAAAAAACTTAGTATGGGTACAGCCCTATTAAATACATTTTTCAAGGGTAATTAAATGCTATATAATTAATTATCAGAAGATCTTCAATGTTAAATATTTATCAAAAAATATCTCCAGTTGTCTTACAAAAACTGCTACATCACAGTTTTAATTTAAACACGACCATTAAATATAATTTAAAAATATATAACTCATAATAAGGAAAACATTGGTTCAATTACAACTTTATCTCCATTCAACAGTATCAAAATAACGTGTACGATTGTCTTTTTAAAAAGTACATAGCAAACAAGGTGTATGATTGTCTTTTTAAAAAGTACATAGCAAACAATGGTTAGCAAAACTATGGAAAGAAACCATACTCAAAGATCATTTTGGGGTAGATATTTTTGATATTGTATGCCATCATAGTTTAGTATCTCTATGTTAGAGTTTAATTCTGTAAATATTTTTCTTCCAACATCTGGTCTATATATTATTTAATTGTTGTTATGGTTTTTGTAATCTATTAAAACCTCTACCTACATTTTCCAAAAATCATTTTATGTTTTAGTAGAGCTATTTCACCACGCATTTAATTTGATACATTATTTAACAAAACAAATTTTAAGAGCAGTTCTACTATTTTTCAATCATTTATTTATTTTATTATTACCTTTTTTCAGCATTGGAAAAAGGGCCGATTCTAAGTACTGAACAATAGTTAAAACAATTTATGAATGTAGACAATATGTCCCTTGTGTCAAAACAATTTTGATGCCGTTGAGATAGAATGTGTAATATTTTTATAAATGAGCAGGGGTTGGAAATGCATTTTCTGATCGTGTGATTAATTTTTTGTAGGCTGTAAAATTTTTTTGTTAAATAATTTATCAAATTAAATTTGTGAAGTTTTAAATGTAGGTAGAGCTTTTAATGAACTGAAAAAACAACAATTGAATAATAATCAGAACAGATGTAGGTCTAATGCCAGGTTAGTTGCGCGTTCTAAAAAAGTGTTTTTGTAATTTTTTTATAAAACCAGCTATATTTTAGTAATTTTAATTTTAAAAAAATTAAATAACCGCCATTTTGTTAATTTTAAAGAAAATTATATATATATATTTTTATTGTCTTTTGACACAATAAATGTATGTGGAAAGTTGTATTTCCGTAGCTTTAATAATTCTTGAGATATAAATTGTATTGTAAAAAATACAAAATGGGGGCTAGCTGTAAAACAAATTTTTTCGACCTATGTTTACATGATTTTATTATATTTATTTAGATTGATTAATACTATTAGCTCATGAAGTTTGTGAACACCATGTAAATGTGCAAAAACAACACAAAATAACGAAACATACTTTTTCATCAAACCTAACAAGCGTTTTAAGAAAAAAACCTATAAACCTTGTCCAAATACAAGGCTAAAAGAACTGAAAACGAATTCTCTACAGTGTTAGTTCTATAACAGACATTTTAGTGATTGCACCCTAAGGGTAGGGTAATATTTTATTTAACATTTTGTGTTTGCTGCGAGTTTTAAACTTTGCGAAACGCTTAACGACTGACTACACTATACTACGTACTGACCGATGAGCTCACTACTAACCCCGGTAGTGTAGCAAATATATTTAACGATTGCTTTGTGTGGGAAATTGTAAAACTGACAGGACCTGTTACACCAGTAGATATAGATCTTGAAAGTCGACTCGATCAAGAGAATGGATTCCAGTTAGGGCCTACAAATGAGAAGGAGGTATTGAACAAGTTAAGTTTGAAATAATTAACAAAATAAGTCTTAAGAATAGGTCTGGTGTCGATAAAGTACCCTGTAGTATTTTAAACGTTTGTAAAGAAGAAATAGCGTTACTCCTAAAAATGATCATACATCATCACGGTACCAGCCATGATGTACGGCAACTACATGTCCATTCAGCGAGCCCAGGTCGCCACACTTGGAATGTGGCCAACCAAAATGGAACATTGTTGTCAAAATAAACAACGCTTTGGTAGCCAAGTGTTATGAATGGCGGAGTGGTTTAAGCGTTATTTCGCAAAGATTAAAACTCGCTGCAAACACAAATTGTTAAATAAAATATCACCTCGCCCTTAGGGTGCAATCTCTGAAATGTGTGTTGTGGAACTATCATTGTACAGAATTCGTTTTCAATTCTTTAAGCCTTATATTTGGACAAGGTTTATAGGTTT